GGCAGCGATTGTTGCAAGCATCTGACACGTGACACGTGTTACATAGCCATGCAGAATCCGAATGGGCAGCGATTGTTGCAAGCATCTGACACGTGTCACACAATCAGTGAGAATGCCATTGTGGAGAGGTTAGTGCTTCATCTTGTGGCCGCATCTGACACGTGTCACGTGGTCGTTGTTGAAAACATCTGTTCCCATTTTTTCCCATCTTGATGACGCATCGGACACGGGTCACACAGTGATTGGAAACTGGAAAGTGCCATTGTAGAGAGGTTGGGGCTTCATCCTGTTGACGCATCTGACACGTGTCACGAAGGGATTGACAAAAAATGCAATCGGAAGAGAGATTCTGGCAACATTTGCCACGTGTCACAGCCATTGAGTGAGAATGCAGATTGGGAGTAGTTGATTGCATGGGACACGTGTCACATGTGGTCATCGAGAACGCAGGCGATCGAGAGAGAACGCTGCGAGCATCTGACACGTGTCGTATTGTTGTTATTTTTTTAAGAGCTGGATCTTCTTCTTCTTTTCGGCTAGGTAGCCTGTTAATCATTTTTTATTGCTTTCTCTGTTTTTTTTTTTTTTTTTTTTTTTTTTTTTGGGTTTTTGGTTGTGTTTCGTGTGATGAATGCAGACGAGATCTCAACCGTTAGATCCCCCCAATTTTAGCTATGGCCGACTGTGCGTCGGCTGAAGGGTGTTGGCCCCCGCAAGCTAAGAAGGAATGCGCCCCCGCTGCTGCCAGCTGCTGCGGCGAAGGTGGAGGAGCTTGTGGCGATGGCGGCCCAGCGAAGGTGGAAGAAGAACCCTCCAGCTCTAGCGATGGTGGAAAATCTTGTGGAGATGCTGCTGCCGTCGCAGCCCCCGAGTCTGAAGGTATCCACGAACAAATCAAGGAATATTATGGGAAGAGATTGACGTCGAAAAAGGATTTAGAAACAAACGTCTGCGAAGTGGCGGTAAGTTCTTTTTTTTTTTTCAATTATTATTATTATTTTTTTTTTGAAATGAAATCAGTAAGGGTGTCATCATGACCGTCGATCTTTCGCGTGTTTATTTTCCCGCCTTCTTCAGCCTCTTTTTTTTTTTTTTTTTTTAATTTGGACCAACAGATTAATTAGGACCAACGTTTACTTTCCCGCCTTGTTCAGCGCCTTTTTTTTTCCCGAGTTGGTTCTAAAAAAAAAGTGTCTTGTTATTAGAAAAAAAAGATAAGAATCTTGTTAAAAAAGAAAAATAAGAAACTCCGCCATCCACTGAATAGATGTACGACTTTTCTTTTTTTTTTTTTTTAAATTAAAAATTAATTAAATATGTAAAAAAATCCAGGGAAGTTGCACATGTTGGCAGTTGTTGACACGCGGGAGGCGGTCGGTCGATCTATTTTTTTTTAATGATTCAATTTATTTTATTTATTTATTATTTTACTTTTAAAAAAAGAATATCCAATTCATTTTAAGGGCTTTCTACGTTTATTGACGTTCTAATGAATCGAATGTATTTTTCCACTTTCCTCCACGTTTAAAGACGTTCCAATCTTTCTTTCTTCTGTTAACCGAATTAAACAGACAAAGCACTCCACCAACTAAGAAC